ACACCCCTCTACTGTATTTAAGGCACATGCGTAGCTTGCGCGAGTAGTACTATAAATCTCCTGAAATGGAGATTGGCACGCATGGCACGTACTGTGCGATGTGGCGCAGAACGCAGCGGTGCCGGAAAAAAGTGTTTAAAAGCGTCCATGGAACGAGCTCTTGACCAATATGGGTGGGTATGTCTTGGGTATTTATCAATACTGGTTTATGTTTGTTTTTGTTTCCCCTCCACAGTGTGTAACGCCATACTGATTGCAGCTCTGGCCAGCCTGGCGAAGTTTCTCAGTTCCCAGTGATGGACAGACAGCTTCACAAACATCCTTGGAAAATTTTTTTGGTGATGGTTGTTTTGCTAAAATTTAGCTCGAGTTGCAATGTCTGCAGTGACATGTAGAGTTAGTCTAGTAAGCTTGGTGTTGTTACTGAAATAAAACTGAAATAACAATTAAACTCATAATTGAAAAAAAAATCAGGGAAAACAATTTTAATGATACTGAATTTATGGGTTTTAATTTATGAATAAATTATAAAAGTGCTGCTGCCACTAAAATTTGTTGTATTAAATATTAGATTAAATAAAATAGCTCTGTACTAATGATCTTTTTCTAATCTGTACTAAGAATTCATTTTATAATTTGACCAGGTTTAAAGCTACAGTCCATCATTTGTAATTTGTGCATTTTGTTCGTTTGAAGCAAAAAAAGAGTTCAAAATCTAATGAAGGATACTGAGCAACTAACCTGATGAAGTTTCAGCTAAGCTTCAGCTGTACATTCCGAAAAACAGCATTCTAAGATCTCAATTTCAAATCCAAAGTTACTGAATCATGTTTTGAATTGTTTTGAATTGCAGCTATACGCGACGTCGCGCACTGATCCGACGAATTATAACAACCGCGCGCACGTGTGCGTCGTTCCAATACTTGTGCGCGCTGCGCTGAATAACAAAACGAACTACTAATTTAAATTTTCCTACGGTGCTTCTTAAGAATCACCGTTGGAAATGCCTTCTTTCGTTGATTACTTCAAAATGACAGCTTCCCAGAAAGAATAATTTCACAGGGAGTTTAGTTCCCTTACTATCTTTCAACCAAGTTTGTTTTTCAACAATAATTATGCCAGTTACTTTTCGGATGGCTGCAAATGATGGACTATACCTTTAATAGGGACACAAACAGTGTTTGAAATCTGGAAAAATTATTGATTAATGTTGCCAAAGATTTTCGGCAGGACAGTGAAATTGAAATTTCGTGAAAAAAATGGTAAAAAAATGTTGCAACCTGACGCTACTTCTTTCTTCATATATCATCTCAATGAAGGACATTCGTTGCAAACATGATGATCATTCATTAATCTGGGACTGAGAAATATTTCCAAGTTTGTTAGGAAATACTTTGAAAATTGTCTTTAAATCTCCATAGACTTTGTACACAATCGCGGAAGTGGCGTCAGGTTGCGACATTTTTTCCAAAAATTATTATATCTTGCCCAGTACATTATGAAACTGATTGTATAGAATAAGTTGTCTATTTTAAATAAAGTCTATATTAAGATCCTTGATCGCTAAACTACTCTTTTTGTTTGAAGTACATGTTTATTTTGAGCTAATGGGTCTCTTAACTCTAAACACTGGATCATTCCGTAAATTTGGGGTCCAATTTTTGTTGGAGGATGAGTTGTTTATAGTATATTTAATGTGGATACAAACATCATTTAATAATATCTGAAATAACATTTGATTAACCCTAATTCCCTAGGGGTGTGCAAAATCATATTGAATTGGAGGATTCAGGCCTGTTAGGGCTATTGTTTTCATGTGCCAAAGATTAATTCTTTCATTGGCAGGATAAAACTGAAATTTTTTGTAAGAAAAAAAAAAATCTTAGATCTTGCCCAGTACGTAATTATGAAAACTGATTGTATGGAATAAAATTGTCTATTTTAAATGAAGATTTTAAGATCCTCGATCGCTAAACTTTTTATTGGATTATAATTTTGACTCATTATTTGAATTACATGTATATTTTAAGGTTGTGGGTCTCTAAACTCTATTTTTGAGGATTGACTAAAAATTGCATAAAGTAATTTATTTGTAGCAATATTGACGTAGTGTGCAATTTTTATCTTGTCTTTCTTATTCATGTTATTCGTGTGAAATCAATTTACAATAATTTACAATAATTTGAGATTTGGTGATGTGATATGCTTTGAATGCACTTTCAGTGAAAAACTTGCACGAGTAAAGTGGTCGCATAGATGCTTCACTGCATGCAGTTAACGTAACAAGAAAGTACTTTTTTCTGCCCATGCTAACAAATAATCAGCGATAAGTTTGGAAATGTTATGACTTTTGTTACATCATGCATTAATAGATGGATTGGATCAGTCTTCAAAATTACACAGATTTGAAAATTCACATTCGTAAAATTTAACAGCTTTGTAATTTCCTTTGTTTCGTATGAAATTGATCGACAGGCTCCTCTTGTCAATAAATCTTTATTATAGCATTCTATTTAAGACATCAGTTATTGATTCATTTCATTATTAAAGTTGCTCTTCAGAATATCTGATTTGTTTTTTTCTCCCAACGACTTTTCCAATTTGAATGTGTTCTTTAAACGAAAACACTCTATTCCAGATAATTTCTACCAATGTGCGTGTATTTGTTGATTTCCCATTCAAAAGTGCATAACTTTTAGAAACATTTTTTTTCCAGGGTGAAACTCGAAAATAGATCAGAATGGGGGGTGCGACTTCATGCAGGTTTTCAAGTACTCCTACTTTTCCCTTGAAATTCGTACATGTATTTCCTACTTTTTCTGACAGTTTTGTCCCACAAGTCCGAAAAATGAAATCTTATTGATTGTTATAGTAAGCAGTAATACTCACTGTCACATGTAAATCACACAAAAGGGCATGGGAGCACGAGTGCTACTGCAACTGTACTTCCAAGAGCTTAGTTTAGGGTGGAGCACAAGTGTTGTGAGTATAGAACATGCCAAATGAGGCTTATGATGCTGCGGACATGGGTGAGTATCAATGAAAACTTTTCCTGAAAGCCCATAAAAGTCGTAATTTTATCCCAATTTTGTCATCCAGAGTCCAACTTTTGTCCTGTTTGTGTCCTGTTTGTGTTTGACATGTTGATCCTACTATTTCCCGACTTTTGGACCTGTTGGTCTTCTTGAAAGCTACTTGTAGCTTGGAAACACGGCTCTGGTTAGGCTCATGACATATGAGATTCCCCATCCGCTAGGCTTAATGGCGAATCCCCCAAATGTCATGATCCTAGAGCTGGGTTTTCCAAGATACTTAAAAGCCTACTTTATCTCATTCCCCATCGCGATACGATGAACGTAATATTTCAGGCCTAAAAACTACCGACTAGGATAACTGAATTCTGTTATACATTGTATTTTATTTTTGAAGAATTAAAGTGGTCTTATCAATTGTACTTTTTGTAGTGAATTGTGGCTTATCTTTTGCGCTAATTATTTTCTTCATTTTGTTTTTGATATCTTTTAACTTTAGATAGGCACATTAGTAAGTTCCTGGTGGTTGGGGTGCTGGTTCCAGCAATTAAAATATCTCAATCTTGTTGCTCCCTTTAACCCGGCAAAACTGATCCTAAACCCTTTTAACTGAAGCAAAAGTTATGCATTTTTGTACGTTGATTGCAATTGGAAAACATCAAGTATTAAACGAGTTCTGAAAGGCAATAACGAGTCGGCTAAATTCTTGTCCATTTTGATCAAAATTCTTGTCCATTTTCAAGCATAGTAAACATTGTCCTAAACAAAAGCAATCACTCCAGTGTTACTTGAACATCCATTCAAAAGCCAACATGACAACATTTGATTCTATCAAATTTGTTTTATTTTCTTTAAAAAATATTAAATCTCCATACAGTACAATGTACATTCATTATTTGAATTCATTTCAAACATTTTTTGACTCCTCAAGTCTTGAAAAAAAAAGTAATAATAATACATGTAAACAAATTAAAGAAAATCTGTCAACCCCCAAATATCAATATTTTACAGATGTGATCACCATCCCCTTCTTTTTTGCTGTGCAAGAAAACATTATTTTTCTAGCATTTTCACGCGAAACAGAACGTTTACATTTGTTTTTAACAAATCTGCCCTGTGAGTTTCCTTGCTGTGAATTACTACAATATCGACACAACTACAGTAATACATTAAATTTATAACAGGCACACTGCATCCTCATGAATAAATTAACCTCTATGATTAGATAATGAGTTTTACAAAAAGTATACAATTTCATTAAATTGTAAACAGTACCATTTCTTCACGAATAAAAAGGTTTCCAAAATCATGTTTGTACTATTCATCCATATTCATCATAAGATCACGCAAAACGGTTTCAAAACACGAGTTTGTGACGCACTATTTGCAAAAGCTGAATTCCTCAAGCAAAGTTTGCATGGAATGTGTTGCGATATCAAAATCGGCTGTTTTGACTCACCTAAAGTACGAACAGCCGTGAGGATATACAAGCATTACATTCACTGTGTGGACTTCCGAACAAAAGAGGTCCACATAAACCAGGTAGCAGCGACGTTGTGTGGACTTGCCCACGTCCACACAGTGTTTCCCCCTCTCTAGAAAACTGGTGAGGCATTTTGGGGTTAGGTTTATCTGTGGCAAAATGAACTGAGAAACACTTAAGGGAATCCTAGAAAAAAAAATGGGTTGAAAGAGTTTTCACAGTGTGAGTAAAATGATTATTTTCACAGGTTTGTCTTAACTACACGAAAACAAAGGAATGTCCACACTACGTATGTAATGTAAACATGTACGGATTGTACGCCTTGCTCTTTAGATTGCCATTTTTTCTCAGTATGAAAAGATATTAAAATATGAACATGATGGCGAAGTAAACATACATGTATGCATAGATTAGAAATCTAGGCACGACTTAATTTGTTTTCCTCATGTGAGCAACAAAATATAACAAACATTACAATGTTTCACCTGTCTTTACTCGCGTTTGTGCAAACATAACCAAACTTCACTCTATTTGAGTGAAAATTTACTCCCACCAACTTAAAACTTGGGACCAGACATTTGACAGTAAAATTAATTCAATTGAGTAGATCAAAATTTAACTGTAAATTATCGACATGAAGTCTCAAGTTTCAATCTTTGAAGAGAGTACATGTACATGTATGTCAACCAATCACCTCTGAAAGATTTCCAGACCACTGAATTGAAACACTAAAAAAAACAACCATTTTTAGGACAATGATATCTGAATGTGCAGATTGTGATATATCCCAGGTAGTGCGACAGAAAAAGTGAAGAAAAAAAATGAACTCTTGTTATAAATTTCTGTACAGACTACATGAACGTTTATGCTATAACTACATGTACATGTACATGTATGGAAATATGCCAAATATACTTGCTCGATCATCTACTGAATATTTGAATCTAATCTTTCTTCCATTCCACTCCAAGAGGAAATGACATAACATGCACAATGTTTGTTTGTCAAATGCCAACTTGTTCACATGATTTGAGAGCTTCCGTCGGGAATCGTCTTCAAAATCTCTCAAACATCGGCCATTTCACAGCCTTGAAAACATTTCTTGATACATACATGTACATGTACATTTACATGATGTTCTAGTTTTTAGTCTGGCCTGGACTTTGTCCAGAAGAGAGACTGTGCAATCACTACCGGTACATGTATGTCTGTACTTATGCATGCAATGTGTACATGTATGGGGCAATTCCACCGTCACTAACGTTACATTTCTATGCCATGAGACTTCGACCTCTCACTGCTTTAAAAATATTTGATCAAGCTGAATCAAAACCAGCCAAACAATAACCTTCATGACCTTGGGGTAAGAGGCCACAGATGCAAATTGGGAACCTTCATATGCTAATGATGTCAATAGTCACACACTGAGGTCAAAGGTCACTCTTAAAGATAATTGTGACAGCAGGCGAGACACGCGGTTCGAGAACCGCCTTGTTAAATTATTTCAATAAACGGTATGGTAATTTTTCGACAAGTGCAAATGCACGTAAATCCTGATAAGCAGCCAGTTTTAAGGCTTGTGCATGTAAATCTTCAACAGCAACGTTTCAAATATTCCATAAAGTCCAAGCTGGAATAATCGAATAATAAATACTTTAAAAATGCACAGCACTTTTTATAACAAGTAGATGTTAGAAGTACTACTCAAGTGTTATATCAGTTCTTAAATATGTAATTTAAAAGATACATTTAGTCTCCTGAGGGAAAGAGAATGAAAAACATAATTTAGTAGTACACGTGCGTCTGTTTGCAGTTTGGGGAACACAGTTGACTATCATAAGCGGGCAGGGGCCATCCATTTTTTTGTACAACTTTTTTTCTGGACCCCTTCCCCCTCCTAGAGAGTACAAACTGAAAAGGAACAAATGATGATTTCTCTGCTTATCAAGGAGGTAGGTATTATCATCATTTTCAATTATTTTTGAAAAACGTACACGGTCTCCTAACCCTTCCTCCCAGCATACAGTTTGTACCCTTGTGAAAATTATGAAAAAATTGATGGCCTCTTAATACAAAATCTTTTACAACAGAATTCTGGAGATAGTGAACATGTTGCCTTTAGGCCATCAGCCTCGGTCCAAAATTTTGGCCACCAGTATCAAATGAGGGGAATAATCATTATAGCGATTTTTGCAAAGGTATGCACCTTCAGAGTTGGAAAATATGTGATAGCATTGCAACGGTGGTAGCTCTTTGGGTGTTATCACCCTTTTTCTCAAAATGTCCATCAAAATGCTTGTTACCACTCTAGGGACGGTATACCTTGCGCATGCGCACTATAATAACTTATGCCCTGATTTGATACTGACCAAACCCCCGGACTGATGGCCTACTTGGGGTCAACCAATCACTTACGTGAGAATGAATGGGACCCGTGGCTCCTCCTAACCCTAGCACTGCTGAATCCAACAGGAGCCTGTTGGATTGAGCAGTAAACCCCTTGTAAAAATGTACATACATATTCAGAGTCGGATTCTATTGGGTAGTGGTAAATAACGCCAAGTTGGACTCTGTTGGATCCAGCAGACAACTAAAAATAAGGCTCAGTTGGATTCTGTTGGATTGAGCAGGAAGTAACCATTGGACTCTGTTGGATTTAGCAGGGTAGTCCTACAGATGTAGGAGATATGGGTCATTCTATACATTTTGGGGCTTCTTGTTTATACCGGTCCCTGTTACATCTGACATCTACATCTGACATGTATGATTTACAACTCTGTTGCTTTCAGTTCTGCAGTGATCCTCTTGTTGTGATTATGAATAGCAAACGACCTACCCCAAAACAAAATTGATTGAAGTCATTCTTAACCCTCACTCCCTAGGCAATGTTGCTGGGATGCAACCTCAATCCTGCAAAATTCTCCAACTGCCTCCATGTAAAAAATTGAATGTGGTCCTTGGAGGGTTGACCACTACCTCAATCCTGCAAAATCTTCCAGCAATCACTGGCATATGTTGAGGCAGAGCCAGTGACATCCTAGAGAAGTGCTGAGGATGTCAAGTACTATAATCTTGGCCTAAATGTATGCATGACTGAGCATAAACACAAGGTCTGGCCTCAGACCTTGACACAGTGCATCCTCTAAAATCAGCCACACACTTTTGCCATATAGCCTCAATCCTGCAAAATTCTCCATTTTGCAAAGAGGAATTTTGGATGATTTGGGAAGTAAGAGTTAATGAACAATGTACTTGAATGGCAAATTACAAAGTTCAGAGGTAATGGACCCCAACTTTATAGAATGACCAACATGTTACAAACATTTGCGCAAGGCCAGGTTGAGTTTGACTATAGATATTAAAGGCACTTGTCCTCAAATTAAGATGTTAGTGTGCATATGTCCATTGTGGAGACATGTTTTCTTCCGAGGTGTTTTCTACTTGGCACATGCTGCAGAGCCCTACCCCAGTCCCCTGATGCTCTCAACTCACTCAGGATGTCCATCATCTGGTCTAACGTCAAGTTCTTAGTGCTCTGATGCCACCTGAGATGCTCGTCAAGCGGTAGTCGGGCATGGGGGATGCCTGCCTCCTCCGCCTTGCCGAGGGACACCCGACTCTTGACAGCCCTGTCGACAAAACCCCCGATGATGTAAATCTTATTGGGGTCATAGCTTGTTAGAACGTTCGGCGAGTCGGCTGTCAGGTAAACCAGTTCCTCGTTGGGGAAAACACACTGAGGCGGCATTTCTGCGATGCTCACCATGAGGTTGTCGAAATGCTCGCCGTGGACGCGCTTCAGTTCTTGTTCTGCATGTCCATCCCCGGCTACGCTTGTGAAGTGGACATGGAAGGGGTCCCGCAGAGTTTTATTGGCACTGAGGACGCGATTCAGTTGCAAGATAGTGTTGATGATCTCTCGTCGATTCATGCGATGGTCGTAGCTCAGATCAAACACGATAGGGGGACCGAACATCAAGCTCCTGGCAAGATTCCACCCATTAGCGGCATCCTCTGCCACATCCTGCCCGTGGCGAACAAAAGTGTTGTGAACAGTTAACTCTGGCTCTTGAAGTGCACTTGATTCTAATGCCTTACATTTGAGTCTCGATGCTTGCTCTTCTGTCTTTCTGCGTTTCAACTTGTCCTTCTTGACCAAGAAATTGATGAATTTCTTTCGGCTGGTTTTAGACTGAAGGCCAAGCAGGTGGTCAAGATCGAGGGCATTTATACCATCTGGAACTGGTTTTCCATTGAGCTGCCTCCGCTGGATTTCTTCACCCAAGCCTTGCACTTGCCCGATTCTGTGCACGGACATTACATCTGGGTTGCTTTGTAAACTGGTCAGAACTTCTTCAAGGGATAGCCGTGCATTGAGGGACTTATTTTTATAACCCTCTGACACGTTTTGCATGCAGTTCAGTTTAGATCTCTCACACACATTTGTCGCTGACACATTGCCCAATCTCGTGGCATGAGTTGTATCAGATGAGAGTACAGGTGCGTCTGGGAGAGTTGCTGCTTGCGTGCTGTACCTAGCTGAAACAGCTCCGTCTTTAAGGTTGCAGAAGTGGCACCAGCTTGACAGGTCTAAGCTGCGAGGCAGCAGTGCCCAGTGCAGCTTCCTTCCCCGGCGCTGTCCAGCCCGGTGTGGTTGGGTCTCCTTGTAGATTTCATAGAGATCTGGGAGCATCTGGAGGAGCTCAGTTGACGGTTTGATGCTCCTGCGGCTGCGACAGATCACGACTGCCTGAGCTCGTCTCAAGGCTTGTACTGGAGTTCGCAAGTGTTGCATGCTTCCCATCAGCAGTAAACAATTCTGTACTGAGGTTGCAGACCTGTTCTTGCTCAAATGTCATCTGGGTGCACGTCCTGCAAAGAAAGTAATGCAAATTCATGACGGTATTCCAGTTTTAAGAATCGTGAAGGGTCCAAAATCTAAGTTGTAATCCAATTTCCTAGTTCATCCAAATCTACCATTGCCAAATAAATTAAGTATTTAGTTCTTATGAAATGCTGGCCAAGCAGTGATTAGGCCCTACTTCTAAAACTTTATGGGGGCGGGCTGGAGGTAACATCCTGTCAGTATTGAATAGGCCAATCTGAAAATTGAGATTCTGACCGAGGACAGAGTTTTGATCGACATGCTGCTCAAGACATTTCAGAACTTAGTCCAGGCATGCAGCTGGGAATTTGGAAGAAAAAAAAATGAGGAAAATCCAAACCAAACAAGACTTTGTACAGTACTTAAGTAAAAATCGAGGAAATTAGCGGATCCGAGGAAAAGTTGCCTGCCCGTTAGTCTTATTGGTGATACATGATTCATCAGTACTACCCTTACGCAATCACTTATGGATAATGTGTACCATTTTTACCGACATGATGGAAACATCTATTTAAAATGGGCTAAGTCCTTTACACTTTTGCAGTTTGCGAGCTGAACATACATGCAACTAAACATTAGCCAGAGTACATGTACCTTGAACCCTACTTATTGCCTTTTTTAACTTTGGGACATGGTCTGGCGATAAGGCCAAAAAAAAGTCTCCGGTTTCTGGTATGGAGCTTGCCCAAAAAGTGGTGCGGCGATGCGGCTTTTTTTTTTTTTACCTGATTTTTTTGCTTCAAATGCGTGCTGATGACTGCAAATGGTGCCCGACTAAACTTAGTGCAAATATATGGGAGTCCAGAGAGGCCACATAAAGCTTATTCTCGACCATAACCCAATCTAAAAACACATTAAAATTGTGCAGCAGCAGGATTCCAGTCAAACCAGTGAGTTTGGCGGTTTTCAGACATCATCTTTTATTGAAAAAAAAACTTTTTCATTTTGCCGACGCGCATGGCTACAGCGACGCGCGCGCATACCAGAAACCGGAGACTTTTTTTGGCCTAATAGGGTCCAAGCTGCATGGCCGCCATTGCGTGACACACTAGAAACGACCTAAGAAAAACATCAGATTTCACCCTCAAAAGGGCTGCAAATTACTAGCAACCTGAGGTACAAATACAGATCAGTTATTTAGATTGAGAGTCTAAGGATTACTCTGAATGAAAAGTGAAATTTACCATTTATCGGCAAGGGCTCTGTTGCACAGATGTCATTTTGAAAATGGCATCCGCATGCGCGGTATTCATGATGGAGCCCTCGCCAATAAATGGTAAATTTCACTTTCATCCAGAAATAAATAAAAAGAGCACAGCGTGGGTTTGGATCCCGGAACCTTCGACATAGAAGTTTAAAGTTTTATTCAACATGTCAAATTGAGCTATCAAAGCACCCTGGTTCATTGGGTAGACCCGTAAACGTGGCGTCGATAACAACGCCAGCTCCTGATTCAAGTAGAAACACTTGAAATATGCTTTGTGTTTAACGTTTGCTGTATAAAGGAATAAAAGTCGGCGGCAATTGTGTTTGTAAGTGAGAATTAAACATCACTCACAGAATGCCCAGCGGCGACGCTTTGTGATTTGCATTCGCTGAAATTTGTGGTCTCTTGTATATATGCAAAACCTCAAAAGAAGCTGTCCTTTTTTTGACTTGGACATGTTGGAGAAGTTCTGTTGTCCGCCGTATATTTTTGTACATTATCTCGTCGGTAACCCTCGACGCTTGATGAAACTACTTGATCGAGCAATGTGCTCCAGAAAAAGGCGTAGGAATCGATTTTTATTTTTGGTGGTTTGATTTTGAAGATCCGTTGTATGATATTTTCCCACATATTTCTCTCTGGCAACACCCGGCGTTGCAATTGATTATTAAAAATAAAAACTTGAGCATTGGGGCTTTGGAGAAAGGTGTGAGAATTGATTTGTTTATTTTTGGTGGTTTCAAGAAATTTCATTGTCTGATATGACAAAAGACCACGCGGGTGGCGGAGCTTGTTGGCTCTGTGCACAGCCAAAGCACTCGCGTGGTCTTTTTTTCATTTCCGGGTTACCACGTCGGCCTTGACTCAAGACTACGTGACAGCAGAAATGATCCATCCATCAATGTTGGAATTTAGTTTACAGATGGATCTTTTCATCCCTTTTTTGTCAAATTTAAAAACAGTCCCCCAAAACTGACAACTTGTAACGACAGCGCAGCGTATTCAGCGCGCCAAAATGACATACATAATGATGTACATGTATTGTTTCGCGATGCAAGGCATACAGTCTCCCCTCCATCCCAAATGGTTGAGCCGAATGTAGAGTTGACCTGCTGAGGTCATGCGAAGATCAGCGCACGCGCAACGTACGTAAACACACATGAATATGACCGCTGTATTCATCGGATCGGTAACGCGAGGTTGGTGAGTAAAAACTCAGATTTGCCACCCAAAAATTGCCCCATGATCCAAATGTCAATCGTTCTAAAACTTTTCAGAGTTAGGCCTAGCTGGAGTTACCCAGCCCTAAATTTTATCAGTGGGTTGTCATTTAGGGCTGGAGGACATTTTTCACGCGAACCAGCAGAGTTGGCAGGTCCCCAAAAAAATTCAGTTCGTTCTTGCCGGCTGCGCTGGCTGATGGCGCTTGACGTCACTCACACGGAAGCGGAATACCCGACGACTGTTGAGGTTTACCACTCGCATCATAGCTGCGATACTGGACGGCAACCAAAGTTTGCCGGTTATCTTGCATGAAACAGTCCTCGGGTATTCCGCTTCCGCGTGACGTCATGCGCCATCAGCCAGCGCAGCCGGCAAGAACGAACTGGTAAACGCGCTGTGCACAAATCCCATTGTGGTCCTCGCCTAGTCCGAGTAACTTGGACCCAACTTATCGCCTTTTTTAACATTTGGACATGGTCTGGCGATAGTGGGGTCCAAGCTAATACCGCGACCTGGACAACACAGTCATTGACCGTCCCAAAAACCAACATTTTCCAACAAAAAACATCAGATTTCACCTTCAAAACGGCCTCCTAATTACTAGATATGCCACCTGAGGTACAAGTAGACATCGATAATTAAGATGGTTGTACTGAAGTTTACTTACGATCCGGAAAAAAAGTGAAATTTTCCGTTCATTTCGGAGAGCTCCCCTCGCAATCTTGAACACGTTAAATTTCTGATCGTGTTTAATGTTTGAACGACGCGATTTCTTCTACATGCCCAGCGTACATTCGATGGTCCCCGTATCCTCGCCATGACCGCGCACGGTTGTCGGTTTATGCCTCTTTTTTACACTGCAATTGTAGGCTGAATCTTCATCGTGGATCGTTTTTTACTTCAAGGACCTGTGTAATGGTTATTCCAGGCAAGGTTTGGGTGAGTTCCAGTTTTTTTTCCGAATTTTTTTTTGAACCTGCCAACTCTGCTGGTTCGCGTGAAAAATGTCCTCCAGCCCTAGCCCCACTAGTGTGGCCGTCGGTATGCTGCGCTGAACCTTAGGTTCGGCGCAGCATACCGACGGCCACACTAGTGGGGCTACTCCAGCCCTAAATGACAACCCAATGTAGTCCGAGTAACTTGGACCAAACTTATCGCCTTTTTAACATTCGGACATGGTCTGGCTATCGCCAGACCACGTCCAAATGTTAAAACGGTTAAAACAGGCGATAAGTTGGGTCCAACTTGTTACTCGGACTAAAGTCTAAACCCAATGATAAAATTTAGGGCTGGGTAACTCCAGCTAAGTATAGATCAACCGGCTCAACTTTTCTGGTGGATTTGTGTTTCAGAAAGTGGAACTTCAGACAAAGGTATTTCGAATTCGTCTATCAAAGGGCATTTCCAAAAATCACCATGCTACTAGAAGGCTGACGGAGAGAAGCCTTCTAATAATAGACTATGACTGTTCAGCAGTTTGAAGCCGGCCGCGACGGGCGCGCCGGGCATACATTCGATAAAGTCTCACCACATTCATACTGAAAGTACACAAACACGTACACCAGTATGTAGTATTTTAAAAGGAAAATATTTAAGCAAAAAAAACACGTACCTTTGACACTAAAGACACCAAAATGCAGTATTTGTAAGGGAAAATAGAGCGTCGATTTGTCGGTTCCGCCTTCCGGTTCCGTGAGCTGTGCCGGTCACGCCGGTAAATTACATAACCTGTCCCCCTGATTGGGCTATCCCGCAATACACATTGTGAACGACGGGGGACTAGACACATTCCAATTGCACCCTACCGGTGAGGGCGCTATTCACAAATTGTGTTTGAGTGAAAAGTATGCACGTGGTGACTTTTTTGACAGCACTGACCATGGAATTGAAGCTTTGTTTTGGGAACATTTTGACTTTGGTGTTCATATTATAAAATTGTTTAATTGTCAGAAACTGATAACTTCGAGAAAATAACAATCCACTTCTGTCCAGAATTATGTAATTTGTATGCATGCCACAACCTGTTTGCAAGCACGGAGGAAAAGAATAACCCTCCCATGTTTCATTCAAGCAAGAAGGGTTTGTGTAAATTTAAAATTGACCTCTCTTTCACAAAATTTTACTTCCCGATACAAAATAAGAGGCTAATTAATTTGCCATGTGCTAACTAAATAGTGTGATCCTATTGAATGGGTTGTTTTCTATGTTTTTCTATTATTTGTATACCTTTTGGTGGGGGGTGCATACGTTCCCCAATACCGATGTTCCCCGAAATCCTTAACCTATAACCCTAGCCCTCACCCTAACCCTAAGTATTTCAGGGAACATCAGTATTGGGGAACATCGGGTAGACCCCTTTGGTGGTCCTGGGCATCAACTGAAATTGGGGTCTACCCGATGTTCCCCAATTCCGATGTTCCCCAAAATCCTTAGGATTAGGGTTGGGGTTTAGGCTTATGGAATATCGCCGGGTATTTGGGAACATTGGGGAACATAGGGATGCACCCCTGAAATTCCTCCATCTTTCAGTCTTGGTCACGTTGGTGGTAGTTGAAGAAAACCCTTGTCTTATTGCTCACAAGCCTGACAAGTGACGTATATATATGAGCATCTAGATCAAAAAATAAACATTGGCCCACCATTAAAGCTGAATATTTGCAGTTACACATTTATCATGCTTTCCCACTTGCTCTAATTAAGTGAACACATTCAGTCGGCCTTTTGCTGAAATGTGTATTTTGGCATTTTCAGCTTGAACGCGCAAGATGAGTTTCCTGTTGCCGAAGCTGACCAGCAAGAAGGAAGTGGACCAAGTGATCAAGACAACAGAGGACCTGGTTCTCGTCCTTCGGTTCGGCCGAGACACTGACCTAGTGTGCATGCAGCTTGATGAAATAGTGAGTCTGCTGATTGTGTTACGTCCCAATTATATTGTCCCAACTGTAGATGGATATCCCAACTATTAGGATCGTCCCAACTATAGTTGGGATTGGGACTTCCTCAACTACATCATGTATAGCTGGGACTCGGTGTCCCGTCTATTATTTGGTGCCACTGCTAATTATGTTATTATAGGGTCCAACAATAGGATGCCTACAGCTTTTCTATTACGGGTCACTGCCTGTCACCTGCTGTTTTCGACAAGTTAATTCCTTGAAAAAACGTTTTCAAAAAGATTTGCATTTCCAAAATAATGCAAGTTTCTTAACCAGTTCACGTCGGATGATGTGTACGCAAAGGTTTTGCGGTATTCGGAACGGATGACGAATAAACGCGCAACAAGCAAGGCCGGAAATATCTGTCAGCGACCCTCTCGATAGGAGCTAGTGAGGCCGGAAATATCAGAGTGTGCTACCGGCAGATGACGGCCTGAATCCGCCTGGCATCGACAACCCGGCGACTTGGTCCGGTCAATGTCAAAATAATCCCGGCGCAAACTGGTTAAGTTAGTGTTCTGTGCTGTGCAGATACTTTGGGAAGCAATTACGGTGCAAGTTCTCGTAACAGTGACTGCACACATAATATTTCATTTGTTGTAAAATAATTTGAAGGCCATGTCCCTCCCCCTTCCCTTCACTGACAAATTTCTTTCTCATTTTGCACTTCCTTACTGAAAGCTTTCTAAAACTGCTCATGATGTTTCGAAGATGGCCACCGTTTACTGTGTGGACTCGGACAGTGTCCCAGTCTATACGCAGTATTTTGACATCGCCCTTATTCCAGCTACCATATTCTTCTTCAACGGACAGCACATGAAGGTGGATTATGGGTAAAGCTACATCTATTCTTTTCTTGTTTATTGAATTGACTATTTTTTTCTTCAAATTTGTATTTGTGTTCATTTTTTGAAAATACACTACCAGTCAAAGGAAAACCTTTCACGACATCAAAATTTCACATTTATTTATTGTCTATAATACATCCATGTTTACAACTTTTTACAAATAATTTACAAATCAACAAATCAGTGGTACAAAATGTCACACATCATTCATCAGAGAATTACATGTGCTTCAAACTAAATTGTACTTTGCTGATATATTTTTCCCTATCATTTCAGAACTCCTGACCACACAAAATTCATTGGAAGCTTCAAGACGAAGCAGGATTTCATTGATCTGGTCGAGGTGATCTACCTCGGTGCTATGAAGGGCAAGCTGATGGTCAGGTCCCCCATTGATCCCCAGAATATCACACAGTATGAGCTGCTCTATCAGGATATCTGAGAAATATCATCGTATTGATTCCCAGATTATAGAATGAGGTGCAGGATATCTGAGGAATATCATCATATTGATTCCCAGATTATAGTATGAGGTGCAGGATATCTGAGAAATATCATCATATTGATTCCCAGATTATACATGTTATAATATGAGGTGCAGGATATCTGAGAAATATCATCATATTGATTCCCAGATTATAGTATGAGGTGCAGGATATCTGAGAAATATCATCATATTGATTCCCAGATTATAGTATGAGGTGCAGGATATCTGAGGAATATCACAGGAATATCAGCTGTCATGACGGCAAAATATCACAGAGTGTGAGGTGCTCTATCAGGATATCCAAGACATATCATGCTAATATCAGCTACCATAAATGTCCAAAATAATAAAAAGTACATGTATGAGCTGCTCTATCAGGATAGCTGAGGTATTCTTGGGAATACCAGTTATCATAATGCCCAAAATACCAAAAAGTTGCTCTATTAGGGTATCTGAGGCATATTGTGGGAATATCAGCTATCGCAAAGGGCAAGCTGATGGCAAAGTCTCCCATCGATCCCCAGAAAAAAGAATGTCGCACAGTATGAGAAGACCTGCCAGAACAACCCAGGAATATCATGGGAATATCTACTATCTTAAAGGGATAGCTGATTGATGCCAAGAATAACACACAGTATGAGCTGCTCTACCAGTATATCTGAGGAATATCATAGGAATATCAGCTATCGTGAAAGGTAACCTGATGGTCAGGTCCCATTGATCCCTGGAATATCACACAGTATGAGCTGGAGAACATAGCTACTGACTCGGGAAGACCGTTCACCTTTGCTGTCAAGGTTCGCCGATGTTTGTGGCAAGCAGTTGGTCCCATTTGGGCAAATGTCACCGACTTCATTGGTGAACGTTAGCATTGTTTGCGTAAGGGTAATGCACCACAAATTGGCCAACTTTGTACTGCACATACATGTACACAAATCCTTGCAGTGTCCAACGTTGAAAGTTGATCAATGATCAGTCCCCATCAATTTCCTCCTCGTCACTGAAGTAGGCACTCTG